TTGTAATTTTGCCGGACAATAAGGAGGGAATCCGGTACCCTCTAAATTATTTTCTTGGTTTCTTTCTAAAATTCCTTTAATCAACCTCAATTTTTCTTCTCGGCTGTCGCTTTCTTCTCATCCTGAACTAAGTCCATCAAGAAAAGCAACTTGATAAGCAAGAAGTTCGTAGTTTCCATATCTTTCTTTAAGGTACTTTTTTATTTTCCTTTCAATTTCCATAATTTTTTCTTGATTATTTGTCATAATGATAATGTGCTATTTTTCTCTGGTATTTATGGTTTTAAATTTTAATTCAATTTTTGTCTTTTTACCCCGAACGACTGCATTAACTTGATTGTTTTTTTTTTTTTTTTTTTGTTGACTGTCATACTAGTTTGCATATTTCATTTACTATATAATAATATTTTTGTGTTATTTTGTGTTATATATTATTTTTAGGAATCGTTTGGGTATTATACTTTTTCGTCGTTTTTATGGATTCATGAGGAGATGAATGAAGTCTTTAAGAATTCAATTCTTTAATTTTCTTTTCTTCTGCTCCCAGTAATTTATCTTGATAATCTTTAACCAATTTATCCCCTTGTTTTTCATAATTTTTTTTTTGGTCCTGGGAGAGATTGGAGGCTTTTTTTAACCAGTTTTTTATTTCTTGGTGAATAAGACGAAATTCTTTTTTTCCCTCTTCGGTAATTAACTTGACCTCAGTAATCAGCCTTTCTTTGATTTCTTTTGTAAACGGAGTAAGAGTAAAATAAACTTCTTCTTTGGTGCTTCTTTCTAATTTATATCCTAATTGTTTATCTAAAATTGTTTTACTAATTAAAGGAATAAATTTTGGTTCGAAAGCCCGCACTACTAACTCATGGGAAGGGGAAATTCGCAAATTAGCGATGGCTTTCAAAGGTTTTTTTTCACCTTGACAGTTTATTATCAATCCTCTAATGGCTTCCAATGAAATACGATTACTCCGAATTCTCTCTAATTTGCCAACAAAAATGGTTAATTCTTTTTCTAAGTGTTCAATCTTTTTCTCTTTGATGACTTCTCAATTATTCTCCATATTAATTTTTTTAGTAATTTTTTTGTTGTCTTTCTCAATTAATCCGGTTTTTTGCCAGGTAGGCTTCTATGATATCTTTTTCGCTTTTGAGACCTAATTTTTGAGCCAATTCTTCGAAAATTATTAATCAGCGATAGAAACTGGTTTTATTTTT